TTTTCTCATTCGGTAAACCCAGACAACAAGAGAGCGTAATCCATAGGTCTGTGGTGAGGATTATATGAGAAAATATATGTTAGCTAGGGTGCGGTATTGGGCACGTGGCAGGTGGTCAATAAATGCTGGCTATTTGTATTATAACTGAGAGAAAATTACTGAGAAAGATTTATCAGAGGGAAAAAGCATTTTAAGAATAAGGGGAAATTGTCAACTTTAAGAATCATTGTTAGTTTCCTAGGATTCATCTAACATACACGTATCTGTTTTATTTATTTATTTATTTATTTATTTAAAAGATTTCATTTATTTATTTGCCAGAGAGAGAGAGAGAGAGAGCACAGGCAGGCAGAGTGGCAGCAGAGGCAGAGGGAGAAGCAGCCTCCCCGCCGAGCAAGGAGCCCGACGTGGGACTCAATCCCAGGACGCTGGGATCACGACCTGAGCTGAAGGCAGCCGCTTAACCAACTGAGCCACCCAGGCGTCCCCATGTATCTGTTTTAATGCTTAGTTTATGTGAACTTTTTAAAAAATGAGTTTATTCAATATAGAGCTTTTCAGAATACATTTGGTTTTCAATTTCATAATATGTTAAAATCAGGGAAAATGTGAATTATCATTTAAGAAAGGCACACATCATAAAATTTAAATGATAATAATATTTTAAAAGCAAACATTTCTTTTTATATTACCAATAGAAATACAACAAAATCTTATTTATATGGAACCATGAGTAAATGAAGAATACATACCATGTAAGTAAAATTCTCAAATTACTTAAACCAAACCCCTAAAATAAAAACTTGAAAAATACTTTTATGTTATTGTATCTATTATTTATGATGACACAGGCATAGGCCTACATATAATATTTTATGTAGTTGGCCATTTGGACAATATTCTTTTTTCTTCGTATTTTCTCATTGACTTTGGTTCGTTAACCTGGACATGAATTATTGCACAATGCTGAAACGGGAACTGCCCTCAGGAGCTAATAAAGAGCTTGTAAGATAGAAACTCACCAGTCCAAATGGCCTGGCACCAAAGAATTTTTCAAAAACTACAATTGAAATTCCTTTTAAGTACTTTCAGGAAGGAAAACTTTTCCTTGACCCTCTTACGGTCCCTGGCTATGCCTAAAGATTAAACTGGCCGAGACAGATAAATGGGAGAAAATCATACAAATGTGTTTAATGTATGTTTTCTGTGACACGAGAGGCTTCATAAGGAAATGAAGACCTGAAGAAAAGGTTAAGCGTGGACATTTTTTATACTAGGTTTAGTGAAGAGGAGAAAGTAATGGAAAAAAGTAATAGAACAAAGGAGCATGAGGTAAGGGCAGTAAACTGGGAGAAAATAGCAAAGTCTGTTCATTTGGCTTCCTGCCATCTTTGGAGAGGAGGGTGGTCCTTTCCTCCAAGTATAGGGAGGGGACCTCTTACAAGTGCTTCTGCTTATAACCTGCTATAACCTGCTTCAGGTAAGAAGGGGTGGGGCACGTCAGAGAGCCCTTCCTGTACCTGTTTTTTTCTCAAATTCTTCAGCTTAAAATATTCAATATGCCAATTCAATATGCATTTTGGAGTATGTTCTGAACCCTGCCAACATCCTTTTTCTCTGGCCAAAAAGAGGAGAAAAATAAACTTTTTTGAAAAACAAATGGGAAAGGGGAGCTGCTCAGAGGCCCCGCTCTGTGTTCTACAGGGCCATCACACTTTCAGCTTCTCTGATCCAGAATTCAAGGATGATGATGTGCCTTCCAGAACATTCCCAGTTCTCATTTCCAAGCTTCCTCCAACCCAACTATTTAGAAAGGCCTTTTCCTGTGGTATGACTCACTAACATGGAATGTAGCTGGCTGAGGGAGGATTCTGACTTTCTTCCCAAGTCTTAGAATCCTGTCAACGTGGAAATCTGAACCGATAATCACAGGCCAGCATGTATCATTTCCATGACCATGAACTACTCCTATCATTAGTAAAGTGTCTGTGGCTTTTTAAAGGTAGCAACATAGCAGATAGTGAATGTATCTTAGTTGAATTGAGTTAGAGGTTATCTTTCTCTCCACGAGAAGTCCAATAAGATAATACTGTGAACACTTTATTATAGATATTCAATCATTGAAATAAAATAGACTAATTCCTTGAAGAATACAAACTACCAAAACTCAGTCAAGAAGAAACATATATTATCTTATAATTATTAAAGAAATTGAATTTACAGTTTCAGAAGCTCTGGAAAAAAAAGTTTCCAGACCTTGATGTTTTCACTGGAGAATTTGACCAAACATTTAATGAAGAAGAAACACCATTCTACATAATCTTTTTTAGCCAGTAAAAAAGGAGAAAATACTTCTTAATTCATTTTTTGAGGTCCATATCACACTGAAACCAAAATCAGACAATAAGGCAACCAAAGAAAACAGACCAGTATACCTTACAAACATAGATAGAAAATCCTCAAAACAATGTTAACAAGTTAAATCCAGCATTATTTTAAATGAATAACAAACATACTATGGCTAATTGGGATTTATCTCAGGAATACAAAGCTGGTTCAATATTCAAAATCAATCAACACAGTGCAGCATTTTTTTTTTTTTTCAGGCAGTCACTGTGTTTTAAACACAGCACACAACAAGATACCCAAGCACCATTCATGAGCCTGAGTCATGGGTTTCAGATGGGAGCTGGGTTCATTTATAAATAGCCTGTGTATGTCAAACAGAAGAAAAGAAGGGAAGTTTAGCATATAAGGTGGAAATCATTGTGCCCAATTTAAACATAAAAATCTCAGGCTTGTTATATTTACAACGCCTTAGAACAACTCCTCCCCCAAAAGAGAGCATGTCAAATGGAAAATTCTAAATAAGCTAATGTCCTCACGTTGAACTAAATAGAACGAATGATGTGGCATCAGAAAATGAGGCTCTAATTGTTATCTCACTTCCTGGTCTTGGGATATACAGAGAAGGCACTGTGGCTTTTGTTGACTTGGACGTTTGAGGTCCTTAAGGGAAGGCAACTTTGACGATATTGACTGATCATTTTGCATTCATTGATTCTGTGATGGTTTTGGGTTGATGGCAGAGGAATAGTTTGTGGTGGCAAAGAACTAACACTTCGAACATGTTGTCAATGTTTTAAAAAATCATTTTTTGGGGCGCCTGGGTGGCCCAGTGTGTTAAAGCCTCTGCCTTCGGCTCAGGTCATGATCCCAGGATCTTGGGATCGAGCCCCGCGTCGGGCTCTCTGCTCAGCGGCAAGCCTGCTTCCTTCCTCTCACTCTGCCTGCCTCTCTGCATACTTGTGATCTCTCTCTCTCTCTCTGTCAAATAAATAAATAAATAAATACTCTTAAAAAAAAAAAGAAAAAAATCATTTTTCCTCCTACTTCCCACCTCCCCTGTGACTTTGGACATATCTTATTATCCAGGTGAAAAACACATGATCATATCAATTGACATAGAGACAGCATTTGACAAACCTCAACATCTATTCATGATAAAAAATATATATATTTTTTATAGCAAAACAGGACTAGAAGGAAACTGCCCCAAGCTGATAACGGGTGTCTGTAAAAACCCACGGCTAACATCATACTGAATGAGAAGGACTGAAAGTTTTTCTAAGATCACTAATAAGACAAATGTAATTTTTATGTGTGTGTACTTAGGTGTGAAACTCTAAAGCAAAGCAAAGAATTATTCTTCAAGCGAGGCTGGTGGTAACCTCTGGAAGGGAAGAAGAGAGGCAGTTGTAACTGAGACGGGACACGCAGGGGTCTTCTGTATCCTGGCAACAGTCTATTTCTTGACCTAATGGTGGTTTTACGGTGTTCACATCACAACAACTTGTTGAGTTGTATATATGTTTTATGTACTTTCTACATTTGCATGTATTTCCCAGTAAAATGTTACAGACGAAATGAATATTTTCAGAAATTTTAAATGTTAGCTTCTTTAGAAAAGAATAATTTGGTACCTTACTCCTCATAACTCCCTATGCTTTTAATATGAACACTAACAGTTAATAAATATTTGAAATAAACAATTGCCCTCTGGAGCTTTTATGGCAATCACACCAAAATCATGGTTTTAACCACTTGGCCTGGAACTTGTTTAACTTAGTTACAGTTTTCTTGGCTGCACAGTGTGGGGAAGGGGAAGGTAGAACAGCTCCTAGGGATGCGGGTAGCCTCCCTCTCCCCCACCTCTCCCCTACCACCCCGCACTGGGCAGAGCAGAGGGACATTAGCCAGCAGTCTTCTTATACTGTTCTCAGCTTCAATCCAAACCCTTCAGATTAAAAAACAATGTTAAAAATTGGCCTTAATTACCTAAAAGTTTTTTATATAATATCCTTAGAGGATTATTTATAGCAAAGCCATTTAATATCATTAAGATAATTCCTTGTGCGTTAAAAAAAAACTTGAGATCCAGTGATGGTTCAAAATGTCTTTCCTAATTTTTTAGGTTTCACCTGCTTAAATAGTGCTGAAAATAAAAATTTGGAACAAGGGGATAGTAGGAATTTTGAAAAACAAGCATGGATAGAAATTAAAAATGAGTAAAAGTCCCATAACGAAATCCATACTTGTATCAGTACTATGGAGAAAACATAAAGCCATATACATAGGCTTCAGCAAAAGTGCATATAATAATCTCAAATCTTTTTTCCCAGAATTGGAAAAAGTGACTTAAGACTTAAATTTTGAATTTTTATTATGAACACTGGTTTACTCTAAAATTTAAAAAAATCTTACTTCAGGAGAGGCCTGGGGGTTTTCTAAAGTATATGTGTAGTAGACTATCTTTGAGTTTTGTTACACATGATTAACTTTTAAATGCATAGGTAGTAAAAAAGTAGAATTCCTTTCTTGGTGATTCCTGTTCATCTTTTCTATAAAAGATGTTCCTCATCTATTTCTTATTCACCCAATTAATCTCATTCATTTGCTTAATAAATATGGAGCATCTAATATGTGAAACACTCTTCTAGGTGTATATCAGAAAACAAAGCAGACACCATTTCCTGCTCTTATGGAGCTTGTCTATGGAGGAAGGAGACAACAAGAAAAATTAGTAAGTATGTTGTACAATATATAAGAAGGTAGTAAGGGCCATGGGGGAAAACTAGAACAGGTGATAAAGGTCAGCCATGCTGGGGCAGGGACTGGGAGGTGGGAACTTTTGGCAATGGTAAACAAGGCAATCAGAGTAGAACTCATTTGAAGAAGATGCTTAACAGAAGGGAATGAGTAAACCATGTAGATATTTGGAGGAAGAACATTCCAGATGGAGGAAACATCAAGTGAAGAGGCTCTGAGGCCAGGGGGTTGCTGCAGTGTTGAAGGAAGAGCATGGAGTCCATGATGGCCAGAGCAGAGGGAGCAAGTGGGACAGCAGTCAGAGATGGAAGGGGGATCTTGTGCAGCATTGGAAGGACTCTGCCGTCCACCCTGAATAAGATAGGACCCATCGGAAGGTTCGTGGTCTAGTTGGGTTTTGACAGGATTATTCCGGCTGCTTTGCTTGAAAATAGACTGTAGGACACAAGGGTAGAGGCATAGTGACCTGTTAAAAGGCTATTAACGATAATCCCGGTGGGATGTGATGGTGGTCAGACCACAGTGTAACAGTGGGAGGCAGGATTCCCAGTGGAAGAGTGGAATTGTTCTCCATTGACATGAGGAAAAGTATGGATAGAGGAGGGATGGAAAAGATTAGTTCAGTTTCTGACATGTCTAATGAGATGTTTGCTTGCTTATTTATTTATTTTTATTTAAATTCAATTAATCCCAGTATAGTTAACACAGCGTTATTAGTTTCAGAAGTATGATATGGTGATTCAACGCTTCCATACATCACCTGGTGCTCATCACCGTGCCTCCTTCATCCCCTCCCCTCTTTCACCCATCCCCCCCCAACCCCAACTTCCCCTCTGGTAACCAACAGTTTGTTCTCTATAGTTTAGAGTCTGTTTCTTGGCTTATCTATCTCTCTCTCTTTTTCTTTCCTCATTTGTTTTGTTTCTTAAATTCCATATATGAGTGAAATCCCACAGTATTTGTCTTTCTCTGACTGACTGACTTTGCTTAGCATAACATACTCTAGTTCCATCCACATTATTGCAAATGGCAAGATTTCATTCTTTCTGTGCCTCAGTAATATTCCATTGTATAGATAGACCACCTCTTCCTTATTCATTCTTCTGTGATGGACCCTTGGGCCACTTCCATAGTTTGGCTATTGTAAATAATGTGTCTATAAAAACAGGGGTGCATGTATCTCTTTGAATTAGAGAGGAACATTCTCATCATGGAGACTAGAAGTCATCATCAAAATGGATCTGTATGAGCAAACTTTCTAAGGGGACCTTCATCTTCCTTCATTTTCCCTATATATTCCCTCGTCATTTTCCCATTATTAACTGCCCAAATCTCTCTGTCTTGTCACTTCTCCACAAATATATTGTTTTCTTTGCTTAAAAAGTATGTAAGTTCTCAGTTCTAAGTGCTTCTTGGGATCACCATTTTCCTTGAGACTCCCATGTGCACTTAAAAATAGTAAATAAAATGTGCATGTTTTTCTCCTACTCAGCTGAGTTTGAACCTGAGCTAGAGACTTGGTCCGCTGTTTCCAAGTTGACTGCTCTTTCTTCTACCCTGTGCTTTCCTTATGCACAGGTGCCTTAAAATCTATTTAAGCAGGATTCCTTAATGTTTCTAGTTAGCTGGTAAACCTATTGTTGATAGATTCTTGTCAGGTTTGCGGGGGGGATATGGAGCACATTGTCCCTTATCCTCCACCACCAGCAACTCTAAACTGGGCTACTCCCAATCCCAGGGTAGATTCTTCCCTGAGAGTAAACTAATTCCCTATTCCCAGGGCCTGGGGTCTGGTTTTCCTGAGAGGGTGCATGTGAGAGCTTTAGTGCCAGTTGTAAAGGTAGAGGGCACAGTGCCCAAGATTGTCCTCACTTCTGACACCAACTGTAAGTTCAAGGGCACCCCAAACCACCGTCTGTTTTGGCATTTTCTAGAAAGACTCATGGGACTCTCTGAAAGCTGGTTTATCCACAGGTACTCTTTATTACAGAGGAAAGACCGAGATAAAGTCAGCCCAAGGAAAAGACACACAGGGCAGAGTCCAGGAGGGTTCCAAATACAGAGCTTCTGTGGGCTTTCACCCAGGGAGGTGAGTTGTGTTGTATGACATTAACGTGTGACAATTCACACAGGGTCTTGCCAACCAGGAAAGCTCACCTCATCCTCAGTGTTCAGTTTTTCTTGGGGCTCCGTTACACAGGCAAGATGGACTGATAACATGTTGTTGACTTCAGTCTGCAGGCCACTGATACTGGGAGACCCAAAGCCTTGACCCCAAGTCCTGTTGGTCTTTCCGGGACGGCCAACTCCTTCCCCCCATCTAAATCACATTGTTAGACCCTCCACTGTCCCCCAGTAGAATAACACCAGAGATTACCCACTAGCAGCCAGGAACAAAGGTCAGACCTCCTCAGAGGGTGGTTAATTCCTCACCCCACAGTGCAGCTGACATTTCTTTGCTTCCTGTGTAGTTAGGAAGAGAGCTCAAGAGCTTTAGCTCAGGGGACCAGACTTTTTGAAGAGAGAGCTCACTTTGGCTGTGCCTGAAAGGCCCTGCTCTTCAGTTCTCCAAGGGAAAATGAGCCCACCCCACACTGGGAAACAGCTCTTAACCAATCAGCGGCACAAACAGCATACTCCAGGAGGCCTCAGATCTCTAATCAGCAACTTGAATCATGCTGAGGAAATTGCCCTTAATGTGTCATCCAAATTTTATGTAGCCCTAAATGTTTCATTTAAATGTAAAACAAAGATAACAGAGTGTATCCTAGTGAAATGTGTCCCTCTTCCAATCAGGCTGTTCTTTCCCTGGCACTCAAAATTCAAATCCTGCTGAGAAATTATCCTGCATCACCTTCCCAACTAGCAAAACTCCCATCAGAGAGAGCCAACTATTTTTGAAATCTTCAGAGCATTTCAAATACAATGGCACTCAACGATGGAGAACCTTCTTGGGGACAGGCACTAGACTCGTTGTGGAGAACACAGAGGTGTATCAGTGGTGCATCCTGTCCTCCGGGATCTGGCAAGGTCAAGGAGATGCCCATGGAAATAACCCAAGGCAGGTGGGAGAAATGGCACCACACAAACTTACAGGGAAAGAAAGTGAGAAGTTTCTTCCTCAGAGCCTGAGACATAGGCCCATGTCTTGTCCTTTCTGAGACTGAGAAGACTTTCTCTGTTATCTAATCCTGCAACATCTGTCTTACTTTGAAATCAGGTCTCTTTGTGGAAACTCCAGCTGAAAAGTCCACTATGGAGCAATTGCATTCGTTGGAATGCATTTCTACCAGGTGTCAGGTTTTCTTAGCCTTCGCCTTCCTCTAGACCTCTCAGGGTGTCAACATGGCCTCTGGAGGAGGGCACTGACTGAAAGGCAGCGTGAGGGTTCAAATGAAGCCCTGGAGCTTTGTCAGTGGAGCCAAGTCATGGCTATGAGCTCTGGAGAATTGCAAAACACAGAGAAGTTTGTGTTTCTGGGAAGACAAGACCAAGCACCAAGCAGTTAGCTGAGATGCTCCCTTCTTTGCGGGCTTAATGAATGATACAATTAAGTTCACAGGTACAGTGTGAACTGTTTTATTTATTAAATTTCTCATAGGCATTTCCATGTTAAATGACCTTTTTGAAAAGCCAAGAAGTAGTTTCATTATTTTAGTAATATTACATGTGGTTAGGGTGGGAGTGGGATGGGGCCAGGTGGAGCTAGTGCTGACATTAAAAGCAAGAGACTCAGAAGCCCTGTTTCAGTCCATATGCAAATTTTGAGAAGTCAGTTAGCTGCTACCTCAGTTTTCCTATCTGTGAAAAATAGCCCCTTAGCCCAGGCCACCCACCCGATACCCATATGAACTGTGTACACGGCCACATCAACTTTCCAGTACCACAATTTCCATTTGGACCAGTCTCTGTTCCTAAAGGGCCAACAGCAAGTTTCCCATCCCATGGCCTCTAGGTTCCAAGGCTGAGCCCTCCTACATGCTCAACCTCGTAAACTGACCAGGTCCTATCACCACCTAACATTGTTCCCCTTCACACCCCAGTGGGACACCTTCTCACCTATGTCAGTGCCTTCCAGCAAAGACCACCAGGAACACCCCTGCATAACCCATGGGTGTTTGAGTGTGGGAGTGTTAGAAAAGACCTACAGGATGTAGGCTTGTGTTTGCTGGTTTGGGGGAGTGCTCAAGGAAGTAGGGCTTGCTCTAGATCGGGTGCTATTCAGGAGGCTGGCTCATTCTCTGGTTGGTATCATTATAAATGTAGGTATGGGAAGGCAGATTGGAGGGAGACTAGGGGTATAATTGATAAAGAAGCAGCCATCTGCCGTATTAGCTGGGAGAGATGTTTGGTATAATGACTTGGACAAGGTTCAAGTTTTGTCTGTGTTCAGACATGATTATGAAGTGGTCTTGTTTTTATCTTGATCCATCATGATCACATAGTGGCCTTGTCTGATGCCGAGATTCCCTGAAATTGTTTTCCTTCAATACAGAAGAACACCAAGACTTAGCTGGTGGTGCCAAGCCCTCTCAGAGCAACACCAGAGATGGCACCAGACCTGCAGTTTTCCTTCTCAGCCAGGAGGGTCTCCTTAGCCCTGGGTTGAGGAGGAGGCAGGAAAGACAAGAGGTACACACAATTTAAGGAGGCCACTTTCAGATACTGGCCAAGCCCTCGCATGACCCTGAGACGGAGTGATTCATTACGTGTCATGCCTCTCTCCCCTGCATTGCCTCACCTCTGTCCTTGTCTGTCAAGTCCTCTGTCTTTCCTTCTTCTTTCACCCTAAATCCTACCCAGACCAGATACAGACATACCAAGACCACTGATGGCGTTCAGGACTCCTACCTCAAAATATGGCACCTTAGCCTACTGGATATTTTAAGCTGAAGGAGTTTGAGAACATGGCAGAAGCAGGAAGGTCACTGTGACCTCCTTCCCATCTCAGCCTTCTTCCTCGAAACAGGTCATAAAGTCCTCATGTGAGAGGTGCCTTTGTTACACCCAGTCCCTGGGGGAAAGAAGCATGCTATCTCTAAAGACAACGGGACTCCAAGAAGAATCCTAACAAACAGGACTTGCTAGGTTTCCCCAGTGTGCTCCTCTTACCAGATACTCCTTGTCCTGTCATATTCCCCCATGACTGTCCACTCTCCATCAAACCTGGCATAAAAGCACACAGGTCTAATTGCTTCTTTGGGTCTTCATGTCCTTACGAAGGCTTCAGCGTTGTATAAGACTTACACTAAATAAATTCGTGTGCATTTCTTCTGTTTACCTGTCTTTGTCAGTTTGATTTTCAGACCCAGCCAGGGACCCTAAGAGGATCGAGAACAAGTTTTTCCTCCCCTAACCCAGATATAGCTTTCACCTCCCTGATGGTTAAAGCCCTCAAGCCCATCACCCATACATTGTAGCTCTTTGTGATTTGCTTGTTGCTTCTTGTGGCTTTGTTTGTTTTTTCCAATTGTACTATAGATCTTAGCCTGATTGGTTCTTTCCCATCATCCATATCTCAACCTAAATGGGTCCTTAAAAGAGGACCTCCCAGGCCACCCCAACTAAAATATACTCGGTTCAAATCATCCTCTTCCTTTGCCTTGGTTTTTTCTCTTCATTCCTTGATCACTATCTGAAATGATTTTAATTTTAAGGTTATTTTCTGTCCCTGCGGGTCACTCCAACATTAGTACTGGGAAAGTGAGTATTTTGTCTGTCTTGTTCATTCCTGTATCTCCAGGGCCTTGTCATGGTTATGTTTTTGACAATCAATAATGCATTTACTGCAAGCTCGTGCGTGGGGTATGGTAAGTGCCCCGTATGTGTACGTGTATACGGTCAGGGAGGCAAGGGAAGGATTTTGGAACAGAAACATAAAATCCTTGCCTTCCTGTGGTTTACAAGCCAACTGCCTCAGTTCTTGAATGGTTTTGGATTAAGCAAATAGGTGTTAGCAGATGTTCATCTCTAAATACTGCTAACTGATGCCCTGATTGCCAATCATTTAAAAAGCTGAATGGTGCTAATTGGACTGTTTAAGCAGCTACATACACTTTGTAATTAAACTCCACTTTTGAAAAGGGAGTTTTGAAATTCAGAATTTTCTTTGATAATTTTCCTAAATTCATAAAATTTTAAATTATAAATCAGTGAGGATTCCAGGCAGGATTAAATTCCGGCTTCAACTTTCCCGTGAAGAGTTTAGGTGATGTGGCTGGAATGGAAATAACAATAATCACTGGGCGGGTGGGGGGGGGCTGTCAAATAAAAATTTCATTTGTTTGTTTAGGTCCTCACTTTCCTGTTATTGTCTGGTGTGACTTTTTATAGTTGTTTATGATGAAGGAACTTTCATTTTCATCAGTTAACCTTGGCCTCTATAGTGGCTCAGTTCAGCTGTTGTTATCAGGCAAATGTGTACAGAGTTCACAGCACCAGACCAGGCAGGAGCCAAGCCATAGATTGTTTAATGCTTCTAGAATAAGGGGCGACATCAGCCAGGTGCCTCTATATACTTTAGCCAAATGATATTTTTGCCTTTGAATTATCTGCTCAATTATTTAGCCTTCCATGGCCTTCAGTACCTGTGTGTGGAAATTGGATGCAGGTATTTCTGAGGTGTGAGAAATCTCACCTATCTGCTTTGGTTTGGTTTGGTTTACGTGGTTCCAGATTGCAAAGTGCTGCAGAGGGCTTTCAACAATCGAATGGAACTCTTTAGATGCATGGAAACAGATCAGGAAGGCTACCCAGAATGCCCTCTGGGTAAGAAGCAGGATTTGGGAAACTGAACCAAGGCAGACATTGGCGTTATCTGTACAATTTGAATTTTTTTTCTTTTTCTTTTTTTAATATTTTATGTATTTATTTGAAAGAGAACGAATGTGTCCATAAGCAAGGGGAACAGCAGGCAGAGGGAGAAGCAGGCTCCCTGATGAGCAGGAAGCCCCATGTGGGGCTCGATCCCGGGACCCTAAGATCATGACCTGAGCTGAAGACCGTTGCTTAGCTGACTGAGCCATCCAGGCACCCCTGTTTGAATTTTTCATAGTGAGAATACATTTGTGTGTTAGTCATATAATAAAATAATTTCTCCCAGATAATTAAGCAAGAAAAAGAAATAAAAAAGCATCCAAATTGGAAAGGAAGAGATAAACTATCACTATCGCAAATGATACAGAGCTCTCCAATGACCCCCACCAAAAACTTGTTAGAACTAATAAATGAATTCAGTAAGTTATAGGATATAAAATCAATACACAAAAATCTGTTGTATTTATACATAATAATAACTAGCAGAGAAATAATTTTTTTAAAAATCCTGTTTACAAATGCACCAAAAAGAATAAAATACCTAGGAAAAAACTTAATGAAGAAAGTAAAAAACTTATACACTGAAAAGCATAAGACATTAATGAAAGAAACTGGAGGTGACACAAATAAATGGAAAGATATTCCATGCTCATGGATTGGAAGAATTAGTATTGTTAAAATGTCTATATTACCCAAAGCCATCTGCAGATTCCATATAATCCCTATCAAAATTCCAACGGCATTTTTCACAGAAATAGAACAAATATTCCTAAAATTTGCATGGAACTAGAGAAGACCCCAAATAGCCAAAGAAATCTTGAGAAAGAAGAACAAAACTAGAGGTTTCATATTTTCTGATTTCAAACTATATTACAAAACTATAATAACCTAAACAGTATCAGATTGACCTTAAAACAGACACATAGATCAATGAACAGAACAGTGCCCAGAAATAAACCCACATATATATGGTCAATTAATTTATGACAAAGAAGACAAGAATATATGGTGGGGAAAGGACAGTCTCTTCATTAGATAAACGGTGTTGGGAAAACTGAACAACCACACGCAAAAGAGCGAAACTAGACTGTTTTTTACACCACACATAAAAATTAACTCAAAATGTATTAAAGATTTGAATGTAAGACATGAAACAATGAAACTCCTAGAAGAAAACCTAGAAAGAAAGCTCTTTGACATCAGTGTTGGTGATGATTTTTTGGATCTGACTCCAAAAGCAAGGGCAACAAAAGAAAAAAATCAAACTAAAAAGCTTCTGCACAGGGACGCCTGGGTAGCTCAGGTCATGACCCCAGGGTCCTGGGATTGAGCCCGCATCTGGCTCCTGGCTCAACGGGGAGCCTGCTTCTCCCTTTCCCACTCCCTCTGCTTGTGCTCCCTCTCTTCCTATCTCTCTCTTTGTCAAACAAATAAATAAAATCTTAAAAAAAAAAAAAAAAGCTTCTGCACGGCAAAGGAAGCGATCAACAAAATAAAAAGGCAACCTACTGAATGGGAGAAAAACTTAACAAATCATATATCTGGTAAGTAGTTAATATTCCAAATGCATAAAGAACTCACACAACCAGCAGCAGAAACCAAAACCAAAACTGAACCAAAAACAATCCAGCTAAAAATGGACACAGAATCTGAATAGATGTTTTTCCAAAGAAGACAAAACAGATGGCCAACAGACACATGAAAAGATACTCAACATCACTCATCAAATCAAAACCAGAATGGGATATTGCCTCACACCCGTTGGAATGGCCAGTATCAAAAAGACAAGAAATAAGTGTTGGTGAGCATGTGGAGAAAAGGGAACCATATGCACTGTTGGTAGGAAGGCAAACTGGCACAGCCACTATGGAAAACAGTATGGTGTTTCTTCAAATAATGAAAAACATGATTACTACATAATTCAGCAATTCCACATCTGGGTATATATCCCAGGAAAACAAAAACTCTAACTTGAAAAGGTACGTGCATACCCATGCTCACTGTAATATCATTTGCAATAGGCAGGATATGGAGATAGTCTAAGTGTCCGTAGAGGGATGAATGGATAAACAAGTTGTGGTACGGACATACAGTGGAATACTATTCAGCCATAAACAAAAAAAGAAGTCTTGCCATTTGTGACAACATGGATGGACCTTGAGGGCATTATGCAAGTGAAATAAGTCAGGCAGAAAATTATCTCACTTATACACGGAATCTAAAAACAAGAACAACAATAAACCCAGCTCATAGGAACAGAGCACAGATTAGAGGTTGCCAGTGGTGAGGGGTGGATGTTGGGCAAACAGGGTTAAAAGGATCAAGAGGCACACCAACTTCCAGTTATAAGATCAATAAGTCATGGAGAGATAATGTAGTTTGGTGACTATAGTTAATAATACTGTATTGCATATTCATAAAAAAAAATCCTCACAACACAAGAGAAAAAAAAATTGTAACTATGTATGGCGATGGATTTTTAACTAGACTTACTGTAGCGATCATTTTGTAATATATATAAATACCAAGTCATGGTTGATACCTGAAATGAACACAATGTTGTATGTCAATTATTTGAAAAAATAACAATTTCAAAAAATAAGTTTAAGAGAGGCAAATACACAAGGAATGTAATATTCTCAGATTCCACGTCAAGCAACTAAGAGGATCTCTGCTGTCAGTGAGATTGTACACATTTTCCTGAAATTCGCAAGCAGAAGGGAGAGAAGTGTTGCTGGAGGTCCCTGGTGGTTCCTTTGTGAGAAGCTGGCTGTTTCCTGTGGATATCTTACTGATGACTCCTGGTCTGCAGCTCATTTTCCAGGAACTTTCAGCTCCCAGCTGGATGTCTTTTCATCTCTTCTTAGTGCCTCCTCTGGCCCCCCACGTCCTGCTCGGCTACCATCTTATGTCCCTGCATTTTCAGGGTCTCCCCCTTCCACGGCTGACCTGCTATTGATGGGAGATCAGTTTTGACTCTTGTCTGTCACTGCCAAAGTTTCAGTCCCCAGCCCACAGGTCCGTCGGCACTTCTGAAGGAGCAAGGTGTTCCTGAGCTCTCCTGAGGTGACTCTACCCAGCGGGATCCCTAACATAGGGACAGTCAAAATCGATAGGCTGGTAACAACCCACGAGATATTCTGACAGGAACGGCCTTTCCAAACAGGGTGGCACTGGGTCCAGCAGTAGATCTAATACCTCTCGGGAGTTAGAATTGAGAACCGTGGAGAGAACGGGGCGGTTTGCTGTGAGAGGTTGTACAGAATGTGCAGCAGAAAGAGACTGGAAGTAGAAATGGGGCCATGAGGAGCCAGGAGCACACTGCGGTTGAGAGGAGGCAGAATCAGTGGGCCCGCAGATACTGTAAGAAAGGATGGTGAGTACAAGGTGTGGGGTAGGAGGGGAACCAGTTGACAGTGAAAGAGAAGCCGAGAAGCTCGAGGAAGAAAACCTGCAGAGAATATATGGGTCACGTTTATGGTGGGAGCCTTCCAGAAGACCTGGAATTCTACCGCCTGAGCTGCCAAGATGGTCTTGGACTCTGCAGGACCTTCTCCTCCCAGTCTCCTTGAGCCTAATTCTGATATTCTTCCTAAATTTCCTGAAACCCGATTCTTCTGCTTTGCCTGGATTCCCTGGGTCTTGGCCACACTGCTGAAATCAGTTTCCTCATTTCTAAAAAAAAAAAAAGAAAGAAAGAAAGAAAAGCAGCACATGCTTCATTACCTCGATGACCTGTGTCTTAGGCTTAAAATGGAGAGAGTCTTCCTCAAATGATCAGCTTGCCACGCAGGTGTCCCCTCTCCAGAGGGTGGGATGGACTAAGCTGAGCAGAATGGGAAAGGCCTGGGCTTCCAAGCACACTGGTCTGAGCCGTAGTCCAGAATCAACCAAAGGTGAGTTGTGAGACTTTGGGCAAGTTACTGAACTACTTCTGGGACCCATCCTTCCTACCTTGAAATGTCGATGGCTCAGGACCGCTATGAGACCCCAGTCTGGTTCATGCAAGCAGCTGGCAAACAAGAGTTCACACTTGATCCAAGTCCATACCCTTCCTTCTTCTCTCTGGCTGCTTCCTATCTTGCACAGTAAAGGCCAACCCACCCACCCCACTTCAGTAGCAGCAGCTATGGTTAAAATCGTCCGCTTCCTGTCTCCCTGGGTTCTATTGCTTAACTGTTTTGTGCTTACACACTTAAAGAGTAATAGTCAGTCTGGCCAAAGCTGTAAACATAGATTTGGGGGGAGTTTGGGCCCATTTCTTTGATATCTACAGAGAATTCATGAGAAGAAAATGGTAAGGAGCCCCATGATGGGGCAGTCAAGTTCAGGCCAGTGTCTACCTACACCCAGTCAGTCTGCCATCAACAAGTCTTTATTGAGCTCCTCTTATGTGCAAAGGTACTATCAAGATAGAAGTTACCACAACCATGAAAGGGATGTAATTCCTGTACAGAAAGGTTGAATCACAGTAAGTTTATTTTGAGTTCACTTATTCAGGAATCACAAATGTGTGCTGGATATTTAAATGATGTAATGAACGCCCTGTGAGCTGTGCCTAACTCTCCTTACAAGATCTGAACTAGGACCAACTAAGATTTAATACGGCAGTGTCCCTTGCCCAGAGCCCAAGTGTCTTGCTCCTTCCCAGGGCTCATTAAGTATTTAGGAATGAGTGACTCTAGACGCTGTGGAATCAGCAAACATCTGGAAATCTGGCTGAGCTAAAATGGGTATTACTGTGTAGAAAAATACATGGTAATATTGTGATTATGGTGGTACCAAATTATAAATTCGAGAGGCATGCAAACACATATTCTTCCTCAGAAATTAATCTGCCTCTTTTTCCTGCTTGGACCTCTTTCTCCTGCAAGCCTACAGATTGTAATTTCTAGAAAGGGATATGTACAGATCTTTCTGAAAGAAACTGTTTACTCTAAATTATTTTTTTTTCTTTTAAGATTTTATTTATTTATTTGGGAGAGAGAGAGACAGAGAGAGAGAGAGAGAGAACACAAGCAGGGGGAGTGGGAGAAGGAGAAGCAGGCCTCCTTCTGAGCAGGGAGCCTGATGTGGGGATTGATCCCAACACCCTGGGATCATGACCTGAGCCAACGGCAGATGCTTAACCAACTGAGCCACACAGATGCCCCTGCTCTAAATTCTAATAATCTCAGAGAATTGGCTTTTCGTGCCCTGCTGACCTCCTTCTCTCAAAACAAAACAAAGACAAGACGACAACAACAAAAACCCCATAGGCCAAAAAACTGAGCATCCTCAATAATCAAATTAGTCAGTGTAAAATACGGATATCCCACAAGCACAGTCAATTATTTCTTGGGCATAAAAGACAAATGCAAACATAATTGTTCTGCCAACTTCAAAATCCGCTTTGAAAAAAGTACAAACCACAGCATCCACAATTCTCCGAGGACAATGAAATGAGGACGAATCTTCAATGAAAAATGCAATGAGAAAACTTGAGAGATAATTCACTCTTCCTACCACAAAACAAATGTTCCTCCAAAATATATATCTTAAGTCAGTATAAATCTCTGCTTGAGGAAAGAGCAAAAATCTCATCAGCAAGAAGATGACTACTGTTGTCAGTGAAGTAATGAAAAGTTAGACAAGGGAGTGATCTAGAACCTAAATTATATTTACCTTCTCTGGAAGCACTTGTCATTTGTCATGTAATATACACATACGCTCTATGCCTTTGTCTAAAGGTTGGGCAGAATCTGTTTAAATCAGCAGAAATGTTAACTTAAAAAAATGAAATGACTGACTTTCACACTGAAGCCCTTTATATGAGAAGTTCTGCTACAGCAAACATCCCAGAATAGCTTGCCTAGGTGGCCTCAAATGCCAGTACCCGAGGGAAGAAAACACTTCATCAAGAAAAGGTCAAATTAAACCAGGAGAATAGGATGTGGCATCTAATTACCATCTCCCAACTCGACACTTAGTGGTTAAGTAAGTACCATCGGGCAAGAGAATGGATGGAAAAGAACATCTTAAAGGGAAGGATCCAAATGACCAAAATTGTTCAAAAAAGAGGATGACTAGGATACTGCTTTCAAGATCCATACCATGAATCCAGTGTCATTACGATGCTGCGTTCAGTGAAATCCAGTTTATCTCATGATTAAGAGATGTGGAATGGGATCTAAGACACACCATTTCGTCCTACTTCATTTCATTTTTAAGACTTTTTTTTCCATCATCATCATCATCATCATCGTCATCATCAAATATTTAAGAAGTTACTGTGTGCCTCATAAGTAGAGAGGCCAGAATATCTACCAGCCAGCATAGTAAGGCTCTTCCCTGCTACTTCAGATCCCATCGTCCTTTTTTTTTTTTTTTTCCCTGCGAAAAGACCCTTTCTGGGAATCCCTCTGGCAGTCCATCTGTACATCTTGGATATGGCAGGCTTCGTGTGACTCCTCCCCACCTTAGGCAATTCTGGGTCTTACACCTGCCACCTGCTCAACTCTCCCAGGTCAGAGTTGAGCATGGGCTTTCGAAAGATACTGATAGAAGTGAAATCTATCAAACACCTCAGATACACAGGTCTTCTGTCGTTATTAGGGATGTGTTCCTCCCAGAATCCTCATTCTTCCTTTTCTGTGTCTCAGGAATGGGCATGCCATCTTACCTATCATGAAGTCATATAATGACCTTTACAGATTTTTTAAGCCAGTCATCCTGAGTTTTTCCCTAAAGTGCCTTTGTTTTCTTAGAATTTTTCTGTTGTAAGTTCCTTGGAGAAGCCTTAAATAGCTGAGCTTTGTGTGTGTGTGTGTGTGTGTGTATGTGTGTGTATGTGCTTGTTGATTATGCTATCTCTATGGCTCCCACATCCTTTCTCCTTGAAGTCCAACAGAGAGTCTCTATACAAGAAGAATCACTCTGTGTGGACAGATACACTGCCTGCACAATGAAGAGCTCTGTGAAAAGGCACCCTTTATTCGTATTCAGTGAGATTAATCTGATTAATTATAATGCTATCATTTGTAAGAACATCACGTCAAGGATACAGGCAGAATGAGATAAGTAAAACTTCTGGGGTTTTAGAGTGGCAAATCATAGTCACGATACTCCTGATTATCATCTCCAGAAAACTGAAGTTCAGGAAGCAGTTTTTCGCCTCCAAACCGCTATATTTTACCCCACAGTGGACCGTAGGGCATGTCCTTTCCTCCTTAGAGGGTTCTCAGCGAGCCAGCCCTCTTGTTTATTTCTCTCTGCCTAGATGTGCTTATTAATAACTAATGAGTTCTATGACTTGTAAATTTATTCATTCAATACCTGCTCCCAAACCTTGCTACTCATTCCAGAAAGGATTTAAGTTAGATGGTTGTCATTCATGGGGAAACACAAAGGGACAGTCTTGTTCCTCAGCATTTCTTCGCGAAGTTCTTTGTCCCCTACCTGGGCTTCTCCTTGTCTCTCTCAGCAGAGAAGCAAGCCCCGCTCTTTGAAGACCCGAGACCCGCCCCATCTTTCTCTTCTAAAGCAGCTGTAAAGGACCTGGCCCCTTTATTGCTTCCCTCTGAAGATACATGGTTTCTAAATATCTCCTTTGAGCTCGAAATCCACATGCACAAAACATCTGATAAAGAAAAAGTTACTTCAGGGAGCTTCCCAGGAGCTTTCCCCCGAAACATGGTCTTCCAGGTTAAAATGAATCCAAATCATGACAAGATGTATCTTGGGCTCCACCCATCAGAGTGTGTTCAGGGAAAGTGAAACTGATCAATAGGAATTTACCCAGACATTTTCCACATACGCTTGTTCATGTCATGCCTCATAACTCTAGAATGACTGCTCTTACAGAAACATGACGTGTTTTTTGCTTCTCCCCCTCCCATCACTGCCGTGAGCCTAAATTGCTCTTGCCCAAGATCAAACATGTCTTTATATCTCCCTGTCCATTCAGGAAAATGCTTCTAGTTTTCCTGGGGATGTTTTTCCAACAGGAAGAATATAAAGACAGAAAATAGCTCAGTTGGTAGCTCCTGGGTGGCTCAGTGGGTTGAGCCTTTGCCTTTAGCGCAGGTCATGATCTCAGGGTCCTGGGATGGAGCCCCGCATCGGGATCTCTGCTCAGTGGGGACCCTGCTTCTCCCTCCCTCTCTCTGCCTGCCTCTCTGCCTACTTGTGATCGCTGTCTGACAAATAAATAAATAAATAAATAAATAAAATCTTCAAAAAAGAAAATAGCTCAGTTGATAAACGTGATCATCTTTCACTTCAAAACGGACGTACTCTTTCCCATATGTTGGGAATTATGGAGAGATTCTTTATCATCCCATTATACTCAGCTGTTGTTTACTTTTTGTGAATCGAATGTTGACAATTATAGTTCGAGCGGGTTTTTTTTTTTTTAACAGCATATGCTGAACAAGATAAAATATTTAGAACAACTTACTTTGGACTTAGTAATTATGCTACATTCTTTCAGCCCATTTATGACTAAATTAGAACATTTAGTAATGTTTGGTGACAACTCCCACACTCTGTAAGCACCAAGGGGAGAAAATATAATTTATTTAATTGGTTTTCATTTGGAAGGGAAATAATCCCATTTCAAGCATCTCAGTGTTAGAAAAGACGCTATATCCTCCATGAAAATACACAGATGCTCATACATTTGGGAAATTAACATATATCTTCCTCGAGGAAACTTAGGAAGGCATTTCATGACATTACAACCGTTCCTTCATTCATCTATTTTTATAGGATCGCTACCTGTCACCTGCTAGTCACTTCCCATATTCTTTACAGAAGCCATGAACTTTAGACAAGAGATGAAGCTATCAAATTATTGTTGGTTTTTGTGCCACAGACTAAATGGCATCATACATTCAATAAGCACATAAGGAATGCCCACTCCGTTATGCTGGGCCTGTGCTGGGCGCGGGGATTCTGAGATGAGTGAAATGTGGTCCCTTGCTCAAATATCTTATGAATTGAAGGTAGAGCCGAAGAGGAAAATGCACAATTACAGCTCCGTGGAGCAGAGAGGACACAGAGGGACACCCAAGTCAGCCAAAATGGGAAGGGGGTTTGGCAGGGCAGGGCAGCT